TCACTCTTAGTGTTAGAGGGTTCAGATTTTGAATTTATTGGAACTATAGTCCAGCCCAACATTATGCAAATTCCTTCAGTGCAATCCAAGTGTATTTGTGTGAAGAAGTATCTGAAAGCAAAACTACGATCAACCGAACATTGATAACAGCTAAAATATATAGCCAGTAACATTTCATGTATTATGTAGCAGCCCCTGGACAAAATATATGCTTAAAAAAAGATTAATCAAAATTAATTTACAACCTCCCCTATAATAGTTTGAATGCTCTACCCCTGATAAAGTGAATTTAAGTATACTGACATTGACTGTTGTTACCTATAGTACATGGATCTTCCTTACAAAGCACTTGTGAAGCTTTTGTTGAACACATTCTTAGGCTGGTACCAACACAAGATAATCCCCCACTTGCTGGGGCAGGGTTATTGCATTCTCGTCTTTGAAGACCACTTGAACATTTGCTCCAGTCAGACCATCCACCATTAACCACTAAAAGAAACGAAATGCAGACTTATCTTAAGCACAGTGTTCTTTGCCATAATATCCAGAGAGAGGAAGATAACTAAACATTTTTTTTGCACCAATATATCTAAAATCTCATCAGGAGAATTCAAATTGAGCCCTAAATGCTGCTCAGAGTTGGCTGAAGCATGCAAACACTAATGGGCCGGACAGACTTATCTCAGGTTTGCCAAAAGGAACACAGGATTTGTTACAGCTTGCCTTAGCTTGCAACTTACCTAGCTAAGCCAGCTGTAAAAAAGATGGGCAATCACGTGAAATTAGACGCATGTGACATACCATTGTTTCCTTTAGGACACTTTTTGTCAGAGCTGCTTTTACAGACGTATATTTTCATTTTCATTCCTGAATTACAGCGTCCTCCCTGTGCATTTGTCAGTGAGCTCTGTGAGCCTGATGCAGTATCTGACAGTTGAAAAAAATAATTTGTTAGTTTGGGACTTTAAAGTCAATTTGTTAAAACTTCTTAGAGTAGCACAAACTAACAGATCCTCTGCTTTCGATTTGACCTAAGCCAAACAAAAAACTTTTGTTTCCCCAAACAATATAAGTGCAAAACATAAAAAAGGGCATTTCTTTCAATAAATACAGTCAAATTATACAAATTTTCCTTCCCTCTGAAAAAATATACTTAATTATTAGAAAAAATCAAGCTGGGCCAACAAAAGCAGCTTAGATGAATCATATCTTGAAAACCACATTAACTGACCCTGGCAAAAAAAGTTCACTTTCAAGAAAGGTCAATGCATATCAAAGTAAAATGCAGTCACCGCAGAGTTCAGTGTAGACTTTTACAAACTCAGCCCCTCTTCTTATAGTGTAACACCTCTTTGTAGACAAAAAATTTCATAAACAAATAAATACATCATAAGATAATGCAGAGTAAAAAAAATACAAGAACA